GCACGGGACAGCCGGGGTTGCCTGAGCTGGGCCGGGGGCTCGGGGCGAGCGGCGTGGCCGGTGGCGTGCAGTGTACTCTGCCTGCAGCGGTGACTCTCTGCGGGCTTGGGATGAGCTCGGTGGTAGGTGGGCAGCCCCGTAATTCCTGACACACCTCTGCTGGAAAGAATTTTACTTCGTTTTAAAATTTACTTCGTTTAAAAATGTACTGAAACAAACGGGCTGACTGAAAAAAGAGGCCGGTTTAAGTATTTATGTGTTCTGAATATTGCCCTGCTGGCCTGTATCTTTAACATAGGTGACCCAGTAGTTGCCTCTGGCAGATGCCACTTCTTGTGCGAGCCTGTGTTGCTTTTGGGGAATAACGGAAGATGTATCCGGCTTGCAGAAATTTTGTGAGATAAGTGAAAATAAACACTAATTCCCATCCTAAACCAGTAAGAACAAGCCGATTTCCAAAGTGTTTTACAAACTTTTCTAAAGTTAATTTTCAAACAGCACAAGCAGAGTATTAGTACGAACCTACAGCACTAAGTTTGCGCTGGGGGAACACATATACACACTTTGGAAATAAAGGAGGCAGAACACGTCTGACAGTTTGCTTGATGCAAAACTAATAGGGTTTTCTAAAGCGTGTGATTTTGTTAATAATGTACCTGCCTTGCTGTTTTGCTGTGGTGGATGGTTCGTATCTTTATTGCATGAAGTGTTTGTTTGAATTTGAGGATTGCAGAGGTAGCACATACCTGCAGAACCGCTACCGGCCAGATATATTTTCTGAGAATTGTTATTGACTTCTTCCTCTTTCTCCCATCATATTTAGTCTGCTGTTGTGCTGGATTGACTGGATGTAGGAATGGTTGGCGCTGGTGCAGATGGGAAAATTGGAGCCCTGTGGGGCGTCCTGCCAGCCTGCAGTGGGGGGTCTGGTTTGGCTTGGTTTTTAACTGGGCCTTTTTTCAGCTATAACAGGTCTGCTGTGTGTGCGTATCTGCTAGAGTTGATCCTCATTAAATGTGACATAAGAGAAAAATCCTCTTGCTCCCAACTACTTTTAAGTATGAGGTTTGAAACTCTGTTTGAAGCCATGCTTTAGCCTAGTAATGGAGGCACTTCAATGCTGGATCAATGCATCCTGTGCGAGTGCAAGCCTCTCTGATTCAATTACTCATTTTCTCTGCCTTAATAGGTAGGATCTTTATTATACTGCCACTACCAACTCAAATATAGCCAAGTACAATTTTATCCTTTATGTCGTTTATGTCAATAGGGGAGAGAAACTGTCAGTTCTGTCTGGCTCAGATCTGCAGAAGCATTTTGGTGCTTAAATGCCATTAAAATCAATGCTGCTGCTGTAAAAGAGTTGTTTATTTTGAAAGAAAAATAAACTGCCAGTTGACACACAGAGCACATTGCAGGGTGGGTAGGTTGTATCCTATGGGTCTGATTTCCCAAATCGAGCAAGGCTGCCTTAGGCTGGCTGTGCCTATGCCTTCTTCGTACTGTCTGCCCCACCAATGCTATGGAGCAAGCCTATTGTGTGTATAGCAGGTACTGAACTGCACGTATTACAGCCTTCTGTACCCAAAGTGAAAGCAGGAGTAGTACCTAAGTATGCCATGTTTCCTCCCAAGCAGCTGAGTTACCCTTGCAACAGCAGGGCAAGTACCTGAAGTCCGAAGCAGCCATAGGCACTATGATAAGCCACTGGCATTTCTCACTCAACCCCAGTTAATCACTATGCTCTAGATCTCGGCCTGAATCTGTGGGACTTGGATGCGGGCAGTTAAATGCCTTATTGGTTTACTGATCTGGGCATAGGACCCACTGGGATAGTTTTAAGAAGAAACCTTTAGTGTGGTAACTTCAGACCATGTAGTGTACTGTAATACGTTTCTGTCGATGATGTTCTCCTGTTAGAGTACGACGTAGCCTGGAGGCTCTTGTGGCCCTTTGGGTTGGAGCTTCTCTCATTATGGTATTCTGGTAGATTAGCTTGATGACGTGTTGCAGTAATTACAGTTAGGTTTAATTTTATTCAACTTCTTAGTGCTCTAAAAAGGAAGCTCAATAGCACTTCAGTTGGAAAAATAACAAAGGACAAAAACAAATGGAGAGGAAGGTGATGGGATTAGAAATGTTACCAGGAAAGAAATGAATCCTGGAAAAATTCAAATACTTCTAAAATGATAGTGTTGGGAGATATAAAGCAGTGAAAATGAATACTGGATGAGTGTGAGCAATTGGAGAAACAAGTCAAGAAAAGCAAATTCTTATTTTGGAGTGGCTATGGTGTGAGGTACAGTGGTGAACTCAACGTGGCTACTTCCACAAGTCCCTATCACTTAACCTAAATTTTGTGAACTTCTGGTTTGGGACAAATAAGTGACAAGATTGCTGAGGGAGACTTGTAGCTGTTCTTTATTCATAAGTAGATTTTTAGGAACCAGCATCTGCAGTTCACCACATCTTAGAGGCTAACCCAAGAATATGATCTGTGTTATTGAACATCTAAGTTCCAGAGAAATGGTAGAGGCAAGTCATAAGGAATGAAATGTATTCAAAGGCTGGACAGTTCTCTATATTCTGAGAAAATGGACTACTTCATATACCAAGTGGCCAAATAATTCAAGGAGAGTCTTTTCATAAGACAGTTACATGCATAATGGATGCAGCCATGTCATTAGACTGCATCAAGAAGCAGTCAGTGGATTGAAAACCAAAAACCAATTTAAAAAATAGTCAAGGTAGGGTGGCTGCCATCCTTTCCTTCACTAAAAAAATTCCTTGCAGTACTGTGTTTGGATGCCTTGAGCAACATTCATATAATTTTTTATCTGTCTGGTGCACAGGGAGGAGTGTGTGCAGCAGGAGGTTTTGTTCCCCCCTCCTCCCCCCAGTCTGTGTCCGTACCAGCAGCTCTATGTGTTTGTTAGGGAAGTAAAGGTCAATGATACGGGCTGCTTTTGTAGAAGGAAGATGGTGAACATTTTCTGATGGTTCTTTCTCCCTGACAGGAACTTTCCCACACATAGAACTTCATTTAGGAAGTTTTTCGCATAGCAGGGGAACAA